TACAGGATAGACAATATAAACATATTTAAAATTAAAGGAATTGAAATGTACAGCTATAGAGCTACTCCCAAATATTTATTTGAGTAATCTGGATAATCAATTACTGTCTGTCTGATTTACTATCTAACTTTTACCTTTGCCAAAATTTAAAATATTCATTATTTTGTTTATAATGCGTTAAAGTTCTTCATTAACAGTCTCAGAGTCATAGTATGTCAAAAATATTGCTAACATTATGCAGAAAAAGGATCGAATCTGGGTCACCTTTAGCCCAGTACACTTGGGAATGTTAATCTGGGCGTGCATGTCAAAATATTTAAAGGTCATGAGCTTGTTAGTGTTAAGGGCACTGTCATTCGCAAGGACTATACTGTAATGAGACTGATGTTTACAGTGTTGTCTTTTTTTAGAGTACCTCCATGTTTTCTGGTGTCTTGGTGTCTACTGTACCTTCTGACGGATGAATTCGAGGTACCTCTCGACAAAAAATAAACCATGTGCTCAAAACAGGCTGACAGATGACTCATTGGGCTATATGACCACAGTTCATGTGTTCTTTGAACCGCTTCACTCACAAAAAGGGCATTTTTAGGTGTAATAAGAGGTTGTGGCACTGCAACCCTACTATTGTGTCCCTTTCTCTGAAGTTCTCAGTTGACTGCTTTCATGAAACTAAAAGGCCAATTGAATCCAAGATTGAGATTTACAGTAAAGCACAGACATATTGATGACCAAAGAGCAATCACATCTGTCCCAAAGTTCCCTTAACCGATGATATCTTTCCTTCAGACCCACAGACCCAGATCACTAATACTGAGCTATTTCAGTGCAAAAAACATGTTGTTGGCAGTTTTAATCTTGGACGCTATTGTGAAAGAGAACTTTGTGATTGTTTTTGTGCTTTTGTGGCCAGAATAATGTCAGTCTAGCCAGAATATAGCCCTGCATTTGTCATAGGGATCAAACCTGCGTGAGATGGATTAGATCTCATTGTACCCAGCGTCTCCTTTTAGAATTTGAAAAACCACATAATTATATTTAATGCACCAGTGTTGTAGCTTTATCTTCCTCAGGACAATACAAAATATGGTTATGGACCAGATTCTTTCCAAGATGCCTTTAAACAACTACAAATTTCTGGCTACAAGGTGATGTAATTTAACGCACGAACACACACAAAAATACATTTTTCACAAAATGAATTCACAAAACCTTGATCAAACGTTATTATTTATCCAACGAAGAAGCAAAATATATTTTTTGTATCACTTTTACTCTGATATTGGTGTCATAAGTAGGTCTAATTGCAATTTATAAATCCTGGTAAATTCAATAAATCAAAAGGTCTTGATATGATTTAAGCTTTAGTCGTTATTCAAAGAGGCTTACAAAGCTAAATATAATGTATCCAATATCTACATTTTAACATACTATGTAAGTATGAGAACTTTAAAATGCACTGAAACATGCTTTTCTTAAAAACCACAAGCTTAAATAGGAACACAGTAAATGGCTCCATCTGGTGGTGCAATGCACAATCAAACAACAGGCAAAATTACGTCTCGGTGTACTGTATGTCTACCACTTACTTAAGAAAGGAAGAAAAAAAGCTTCTAAGAGTCTGACCAGAACATTACTAAACATGGAAATAGAGTTCCAGCTGGCCATCCAGCTCACTATTGCAATTATTTGGCCTTGAAACCGTCAAATGACCCTAATGTAAAGTAGATTTACTGCAGCAGAATAATGTTGACCTTAGCTGGTCCACAGAGCAGTTGAGACACTGACAAAGGTATAACCACAGGTTTATACCCTCAGCAGAACCATCTTTTCTTCTATATCATCTCCCCTACACGCAAACAGTTTTGTCCAGCTTGTTTTACAGTACCCTCTACAGTGGGGCAAAAAAGTATTTAGTCAGCCACCGATTGTGCAAGTTCCCCCACTTAAAATGATGACAGAGGTCAGTAATTTGCACCAGAGGTACACTTC